GGGGGGGGGGGGGGGGGGGGGGGGGGGGGGGGGGGGGGGGGGGGGGGGGGGGGGGGGGGGGGGGGGGGGGGGGTGCTGACTTGCGTCATGCAACCTACCGTATTCCGCAAATACATTGCACCGAACGTGCACCGCAACCACCGGAATCGCCGGTTTTGAGCTAGTTGATGATTGGGCCGCATGTTTCATGCTTAAACAACCAAGCCAGCGACGTGGTAGACTACCTCCCGATGAATAAATAAGTGAAGCAATGGTGATTAACAACATCCTGACGAAAAAAAAAGAAGTAGAGACAGTTACCTCCTGATAAGAACGGACATGGTAGACATGGGTGGGTAAACCAACCCCATTTTCAGGCAAAAGGGGATCAGTCCTACGAAAAAATTCGATCTGGTGCCTAGAAAACATGGTCAGGGCCATAGCACAGCGTTAACATCAATTTTACGGATTCGTTCCATGTCTCAAGGCCAAACTCACGGCGGCGCACAAGGTCGTAACAGGATGCCCTATTACTGTCCGAAACCTGTTTGGAAATACATACCTACCGAAGCAAGTAAGCTTTTCGACCACCCACTGTCGTCTGTGTCTGGACGCACGTTTGGCCGAAATGCAGTCGACGCCAACGCCACGCATTGCGCGCAAAAAATATAAAAATAAGTAGAAAAGAAGAAACCGAGATGCCAAATATATTTTCTGTTTTCACCGGCCCTGGACAGACGTCTTGGTCATTGGTCAGCCTCATAGCGCGGTCGATTGCAGAAAATGAAGAACAAACAGGAGATTATATCTTGGCCTTGTCGAACCCACGCCACGTGACACGGCCATTAAAAAAAAGTCTCAAAACAGGAACCAACACACATGCACGCACAGGTTTGATTTTCTATCCTCGTCGAATACACGCCGAGCCACAGGGCCACAAAAACGACAAAAAAAAAACGTTTACACGCAGGAACCAACACACACGCACGCACACCAAATGATTCTGACTTACGGAGATCCACGAAAAACAAAATTTGTCCCCGACAGGAACGAGTACGAGCATACACACACGAGAATTGTTTGATTTTCTCACCTCGTCCACGTCGGAGTCGGTATCATCTGCCCACTGGGCCCGCTTCGGGACGCCCCCGCTCATGCTGCCTGCCTTCCTGCCTGCCTTCCTTGTTTGCTTCCGTGCCTGCTTCCTTGCTTGGGGCCAAACAGTAGTCGTCGCCTGTACTCGGCGTTCTTTGCAATTGGGGCTAAACAACAGTTGTCTGTGCGCAACTGCCTTTCGCTTTCTGCGGGGCCCCCGTTCTTATTCTTTCTCGATCCTGGGTCTCTTCTTCAACCCCAAAACCTTGTCACGCCGGCCCCCTTTTTCGCTGCGGCAGCTTCCTCCCGCCTCTCGGTCTCCCTGCCTCTTCCTATGTCGTCTACTGAAAGCCCCCCTCTGCCTTCTTCCTCAGCGAGGTTGGAATCTCTTCCCTCCTTAGTGTCGTTCGCCTTCTCTATTGGTTCTTCGACCAGCTCCTCCCAGTAAGTCGTAATCGCCGCTTTCGCCCTCGACTAGAGCTACTCCCGCCCTCCCACGGAACGTAGCTACTGCCGATTTCTTGCTGCTTCCGCCTACCCTGTTGTTGCCTCAGGTCGATGAACAGGTCCGTCGGCAAGCGATCGATCTCGCCAATGAATGCTTCCTTCGCACAAAAAAACTACAGCGACAGCACAACAACAGCAGCAGCAAAGGGGCATGGGGGTGGGGCGGTTAAAACATTTCGCTCAGGCCACCGTTGGTGTTGATGCCATCCTATTGGTCGAGGACGCACAGTCCGGCTCCCACCGACAAGCTGTGCACAACAAGGGCTGTCTGTTAACACCATCCGAAACCAGGGGTTACGCAGGTACAGGTAGTTTTTCCGGGGTCACGTTCAACGAAGCAGAATCACCGCGGCCGGGATACGAAGGAAGGTGGGCTACAGATAGCATCTGCTCAGATGTGTTATTTCATATTTGGTGTGGTCAGTTGTCGATGATTATTGGCGAATGTCGCACACATCTAGGCATGACACTACAATAATACTGGCCGTGACACTATCTCAGCCGCGCGGACGGGTGCCGTCGAATGATTGTTATGTCATGCGTTGGCCAGGCGCTGATAAATCAAGTAGCCTGCACAAGAAAGGCGTTCTTGAATCGTTGTGGTTGAGATTCATGGCGTGTGAGGGAAAGTACACCACGATAGGGTTCAGTTAAGCATGAAGCAAATACAATCGCCCTTTGGAGCATGCTTCCTCATTGAGATCTCAACATGTCAACACACCGCCCGGAGGGGACAGTGTTCCTAAAAACACTTGTTCGCCTCACATCAGACCATGCATACGTTTAACGCCAGGAAACGGTATACCGCAGGGGGGTGGCTGGTGTGACGCGCAACACAAAAATGAGTTAACTCGGGAAATCGACCCCGAGTCTTTAGCCTGATTGGCCAAGATCACCCAGTGCCGTTTTCTGGTGGCTCAAGCGGAGAAATAACACCGTGTGGCCGGGCCAGTCGAGTCCGCTTTCGCCGTTTTCCGTCGTACCGGTCACCGTTAACTGCTGCTGCTGTTTGGCCGTCTCTTGTAATCTACTGCCGGTCTACATATGCAACATACAAGTAGGTAATTTATGTTTTCGACCGATCATCCAGGGTCAACGCAGGTGGAAGGCCCAACAGCGTGTACTTGTAGCTGGATCTTCTTGGGCCACGTTTTCCCTCCAAAGCTGCAGCCTACCAGAAGCTATTATCGCGAGACGGGTTCAGCCGCCCCTTTCCCTCGTCGACCGTCAAGTCGAACGTGTGAATAGCCACGAAAGAACGTTTTCCACCGCAGTGTATCTAATTTGGCTCCAGCGACAGGATCGAACTCACAACCTGCTGCATACTTAGCAGGTTGACCACTCCGACTACCCTAGGCGACCTGAATATACTCGAACAAAGTAGCTGTAAAGCAAAAACAATCTTCGGCTTGATGCAACTGCCGGTCGGGCCTCTCAACTCGCCCAACATCCTCCGGCGATGATGTTGATCGGACAAGCACATCCTGACAATACAGCAGCAAATAAGGGAATGTGCAACTACACGAGCGCGGGGGGGTCGTACGTCAAAACTGCCCGGCACAAGAAGGGATCGTGCGGGCGTCGGCGTGGACAAAGGGGTTCGAGTCCTGCCAGTACTCTACTTGAACCCCCCAGGGATTGGTGCATCGACGGATACAGCAGTAGTTACACTTATATTCGGGTTCGCGATTGCATGGTGAGGGGGCAAAGACGGCGCGCGTGCAAGGACACGGTCAGCGCTGTCAGTCAGCGCTGACTGAGTAGTCTAATGGGTAAGCCTTTGCTGTCAAAAGATACACGCACAGGTTCGAATCCCGGGCTGATCACTTAGTTCTGCTCTCGGCAGCGCCTGGCGAGGGATCCGTCCTCGGAGATCTCCACTCACAGCCCGGGATTCTACGAGCCGAGAGTGTATCTTTTGATAGTAAAGGCCTTTACTATCAAGCGCTGTTGTGCCGTTTCGTGAATGCCTCGTATGCATGTGTTGTCCACGTCACAAAACAAACGTGTGTGTTCGCGTTTCAGCCCCTTCGACGCCCACAGCATTAGTCGTGTGTGCATGCTGATACGCCCATATGTACAACGAGCGTTATTCAGTCAAGGGGATAGCGGCAAGAGGCGTCGCACGTAGCGCGCATGCCACTGTTCCGACCGAGCACTCGGCTTCTTAAAGCGAGGAAGGAGCGCACAGCAGCGCACACAAATTGGTTGCCTTCGGTCGCCTTTCGATCACCTTCAACTTCGAGGGCCAAACAACCCTGCTGCTCACACATGTACATACGCGCATCACAACCGCTCTCTTTTTGGCAGAGGAGGGTCCCCCCCCCCGCTTTGCGCAATGTTTTCATTTATCGCAAACACCTCCGAGTCTGGAGACACACGGCCTGGGCAAAGCACCAGCGCTAAAGCTGTGCGTGAGCTATGCAGCTGCTGTACAAGCCGGCAACGTCGCAGTAAACGCCCACTTGTGTGGCGAGAAAATACAACAGCAGTGCGGCAGTAGCGGCCACCTCACGAAAACCGTCAATGATCTCCGAGCTGTGTGTACCAAAAACGAGAGCACGTTGTACTCACAACAAATGCAAGGAGACAAATACTTGTGGCTGTTGTGAATGTGCACCACACTCCTTGATTTTCACCTGGCGCACAGCGACACTCTCTTGTGGTGGCGCCGCACGCTCTCCTGGCCTGCAGCCAACGCTAGCAAGCAGCCGGTCCTGCTGCGCCACCCAACGATGTGTTCATCGCTGCATTGTGTGAGGGGCGGTCTTGCCGACTCGGCATCAACACTCGCCCCTTCAAGGCATGCACAAACAAATTCTCACCTCCACGGGTCTCCGCCTTCAACAGCGTGTCGCGCTGCGCAGTGTAGCTAGCTCTCGGGCGCTTTATGTGAAACACGGCGCATGGGAGTGAACATGGTCGAGGGGGGACGCAGATAACAAAATGAAGGTATGTGCCGTCTTGCCGGGAGCTCGCAGGGGGTTGCATGCAGGCCGGAGGTGGGGTGAAGTTGCACGTCCAGAACAGAAGCAAGCGAGCAAAGACGGGCCAGGACGTGAGGTGAGGAGCGTTGCTGGGTGTGCGTCTGGACGCGGAGTTGGTGCACTTACCCGTTCATGTGCCTCGAGGCTTTGATTCACCTCCGGGTTCCCAAAAGACTGCTGTTGTCGGGTGATCATCGTCTTCTTGTGGCACCCTACAAATATTGATTCGTAGAAGTAGCATCGATAGCTCTGCGATGAACCCGTCTTGGGACCAACAGTAGTAACAAGGTAAAACCTTTTGCCAACACACGACGCGTCCCTTGCGGGAAGTGTGTTCATGTCGAAGTGCTGTTTTATGTGTCGCGGATGTCCTTGTACTTGACGACGATCACGTGCTGACGTAATGTTTTTTCAGGATTTTCTTGACATGATGATCCTGCTCTGTTGTACAGCCTTTACCTTTGCAAATCAAACCGACCGACCTCCCTCTCCCCCCCAAGCCTAGTAATTTGTGGATGGGTGCGGGAGAGGTGTGCGGCCTCGCTGCATGATAGATTGGATGGCAGAAATGGCGGCGAGGCGCATGATAGATAGGATGGTAGAAATGGCGTCGAGGCGTTCTGCATTGGCAACCAACCACCGCGCTTCGAGTTACGCTTTTCTAGATCTGATGTTATCAAGAGGAGAAAAGGATAGTCTGCCGTAGTGCTCCGGTTGTTTGCACGTTGTTTCACTTTCTGTCCCTCTCGCGCCATCCCGCCGGCATCATGTGATAACTGTCATCCCGTTTTTGGGGGAGTGGGAATGTTTTTTAGCTCTTGCTGCTGCGGACAACGAGATAGACGCGTCGTCTCTTCCTGCTGTTGTTCCCTGCTTGGAAACAACCGCATTGATCACACGGGGAAACAAAGACCATTTTGTGATGCCCGTCCTACCGGCAAACATGCATACAAATCTGCACAATATATTGTGGTCTGTACGGTAGAGATGCTGGGTTCCAGCACCCGATTTGACGCTGCGGTTCAGAGAGCATTTCTCCGTAAGTACAACCACAACGTCAAGTGCAATCAAGAAGATGCTTTCGCGATGAAATTGAAGGGATTAGTCCCGCCACCCCTGGATCATGGAGAGTTACGGTGGTATGTACGGATTTTGGAACACCGTTGTGTACGGCCGCAGACGATCTGCGATCGACAGGTATTTGTTGGATTTGGGACGGTACACCACGAAATCAAAGCATGGTTGAGGGGGGAAGAGGGGGGGGGGGGCAGAGNGGGGGGGGGGGGGGGGGGGGGGGGGGCAGAGACCTGTGTTTTTTTTTGCGACGGAGAGGAAAACGTGGTGTCAAAGAACGAGTAGCCGTCCAACTACAAGCACGAGACAAGAGCAGTACATGCAGTACGGGGGCGGGGGTTCAAGGCTTGATTTTTTGTTGCGACGCGGACAGAGACAGTTAGAGTCAAGAGCGAAGAGCGATCGATTTTGCTAAGAGAAAAGAACGGTCATGGGAGACCCGATTTGCTGGATTTGGTGTTTGACGTATTAGTTACGATCACACAGGGAGGGAGGGCGGTTGTACGCACCAGAATTTCCCAATCGTGCTGAAGTTTGTACCGTTTTTGTTGTTTTCCGGTTTCCTCGGCTGACGTACTCAGGCGTGTTAACATCCTTTCTGGAGGGTCTTGCACCCCTACCTCAGTGCTACATTGCGCTTGAGGCTTCCAAGCCGTCGACCGCGAACGCGACTTGCAGGACTTGTTCAGCATGGGCGGAAAAAATATGGCATATTCGATCTGCCTGTCTCAACCAGCAACACCTCACTGCACGGTTTCCGAACCTAAGAACCTACGCCCTTTTGTTTTCTAATGTTTCTGTTCTTGTCTCTACCCGCTTGCTTCTCGCTGCTTTCTGTGCGCCCACTTAAACGGCGTACTCCAGCCAGCCAGCTAGCGTGTCCAATCTACGCCAGGAAGAACCTTTGTGGAGGAACAGAAATACTTTGTAGGTCCATATCACCATGGCGGCCTTTGACGCGGGAGAGGGGGGGACGGGATTGTCAAAGCACATCAGGGCCTTGGGCATCAGCGAGACATACGACCTGGCCGGCTTCGGAGAGGCGCAGGTGCGGGGGCATTGTCATTGTTTTTCCTAAATACAGCCCCAGAAAGACTTAACCCATTTTAGAAGAATACCGTAGTCGAAGGTGATGTATTCAAGTCTTTGGAGAAGTAGTAGTTGTAGTAGAAGTAGTAGTAGTAGTTGTTGTTGCTGTTGATGTTGTTGTTGTTGTTGTTGTTGTTGTTGTTGTTGTTATTGTTGTTGTTGTTGTTGTTGTTGTTGTTGTTGTTGTTGTTGTTGTTGTTGTTGTTGTTATTGTTGCTGTTCCTGCCTTCACCGTATTAATCGTTCCGATATCCGCCCAGCACCTTAACCCATGCAGCAGTGAGTGAGAGAAATACCGACTGAATACCGGCCTTTTTGTTGAGGTTATTTGATCCACCTACTGTACGGCGTGCACCGGAAGGTGTAGACCGGGCCCATAATATATGGGTCGAACGCACGAAAGCACACACACACACAACGCACGCAGGGGTGTCATCATCACGCATACGTTCGGCGAGATGGTGGGAGAGTTGGGAATAGTGGGAGCGGGAGTGCTCTCGGCCACTCTTGACCGTGTGTTCTGATTCTCTTGCCTTTGTTTTGCCTTTCCGCACGGTTGTACAATCCTATCCGAACTTTGTCATTTTCTAGCCGATTTTGATGTTCCGCGCGGTTCTACAATCTTATCCGTGTTTTCTCATTTTTACGTTGTTTCCGCGCCCATCTCGCTGCTCTCGTCTCCTTTCTTTTTTTTTTGTTCTTTCGTCTTCATTCTTGGGCTGTCTGCACTCGCTGCCGCAGACGAAAGATCTTGTACGCGACGCGTTTACTCAGCCCATTCAAGCCACGGAGCCCCTTCGGTTCACTTTCCTCGTGAGTACCTGATGCAGTACCTTGCATACATACCCGTGCATCGTTCGAGTAACGTTGGATCCCTCTGCTGATGCTCTCATCGCGGTCGTTAGAGGGAGGTGTGCAGTTCACGTTAGGACTGTCGTTGTTGGGGCTAATCGTGTGGAATTCAAATCAAGCGTTTTTGGTGTGGTTGATTTGGTTGTCCTATTATACTTGGGAGTGCGGTTACGCGCCCAGGCACCCAAAACCGGTCCTACTGCCCCTCAAGTTTCCGTGCTGCTGTGGGAAAGCCTTCATGTCTGCCGCGAACTTTTCGAAGACCCTCACTATGAATCGCATGAGCCAGAGAGCCTTGCTTGTTCTTGAAGCATGGTGAAGTTCCGATTTGTGGAGCATTGTGCGTGTTGGTGTGTGTCTTCATGATTCTTCTACAGTACCGTTGTACCGTATATCTTGTCTGGTGTCTCGATTCGTTGTCGCCGTTTCAACCGTTTGACGACGCTGCACGCTGTCCTTTTTTTTCCCTTTCTGCCTGGTGTCTTGATTTATTGTCGCCATCTCAACCATTTCACGACGCTGCAAGCTGTTCGATTTGATCCCTTCGTTCTACCTTTTGTGTGTCACTGACGGTTTTGGATGATGTCGCCGGTTGTCCCTGACTTGCTGTTCTTTGCTCTGTCCTGTTTTTTCGTTTCAAGATCGGAGGGGGCAAGACACAAAATCGCCAAAAGTATGACAGCGATCTCGGGCGGTACCTCTCTGCCGCACTCAGAGAGGTGAGACATCTTGCACCAGGCGACCAATGATCAGCGTGATACTAGGGTTCTGTGCAGATCGCTCAGTCTAGCCAAGGCCCTGTTTGCTGTTTCGATGACCCCGTCTTTCTTTTTTTCTTTTCGTGTTCGGAAAGACCTCTCCCTGTGCCGTGACCGAGCTTTGGTTGTGACTGCGAAACTACCGTAACGTCGGGTCTTCAAGTTGATAGGTGGTTCCAGAGAGTTGTATTGACTGTCGATGCTCGAGCGTTTAACTCAAGGCACGTGATTCTCGAATGGTTAGGTTGAAATAGGTGATTCTCGACTATTTCATTTTGACGGGCGATTTCCCGTGTGCTCCCGCTGTCTTTTTGCCACGATGGTGGTGCAGATAGGATTCCGTGAGGATCGTGCAGCGACGGCCCTGATGGAGTGCCAGGGATCATACAAGAGCCAACACGACACGCACAAGGGGATACGCACAGTGCAGGTGTGCCCACCCCTAGTAGGCTATGTTACCCCTCCCTCCGGATGTAGCCGGTGCTATGTATCTGTTGACGAGTAGGCTATGTTACCCCCTCCGGATGTAACGGGTGCTATGAATCTGTTGACGAGGACGCTCCGTGTCATTCCTTGTTTTGATTCTGCGGGACCCCCACTGAATTGTTCTGGATCATCTTCGCGAGAATTATGATTGTAAATCTATGAAATAGAGAGGGGGGGTCTTCGAATCCCAATCCCTAGCCCCCAATCCCCGCCTACCAAAACCAAGCTTGTATCCTCGGGAAAGGCTACTGATTTGACTTTGCTGGTGCTCTCCAGGTGTTCCCCAAGATCGACCTTGTTGATGAGGAAGGGGAAAACGGCGCTGGTCAGGGACGGAGCCGTATCACCAACCCGTCGTCGCCGGAGTACATGGCCGCCGTCTGTACGTTCGATACGTTTCAAGAAATGGTGCAAGAAAAGGTGCACGTCAAAGAATGCACCACGTTTTTTGTGTTTCTTGGTTTCTTGGTTTTTCGCAATAGATATCGACCTAATTATGCCTTCCAAAAATCGGACTCGCAGTCGTACCGTCACAGCGCATAAATGAGCCCTGGTGTAGGTTTTCTCCCGGAGTTCTATTGTTGATGTTTTCGCGGTATGGTGTAATTGCAGGTGTGTACCCCAAGCTTGTGTTGTTTTTCTTGTTTGTCCGCCAGAGGTCTGTTCTTAGCAGCAGAAGAGATTTGAGTTGATTCTACGGAATTTGATCTGGTTCGGGTTTTGGTTCCGATTTTGTCGTTTTGTTCTTTTCCTCATTATTGTCTTCTTTCATGTTTGATGCCATGTCTTTCGCGGAAGGTCTGTTCCTGGAACCAGAAGAGGCGTCTCCTACGACATCTGGGGTCCTTTGTCGCAAGGTGTGTCATGCAATACATTCGGAGGCGTTTTCGTCCCTTGTTCTGCACCATCTTCTTCGTGTCTTTGTTCCTGCTTCGATTTCCGGGTCTTTTGTCTTAGGACGGGGGGGTTATTCATCTCTATGGTGCATATTCCGGGGCCCCCTTTTTGTTGAACAAGATTGACCAATATATCGCCTTTGAAACAATAACGATTATAGGTAGGCTACCCTTTCGAGATAACATCCCGATCGATGGGGTATGATTGGCATGGATATCGCCTTTGAAACATTCGAATCAGAGGTAGGCTATCCATTCGAGGTAACGTCCCGATCAATGCGATGTGTTGAAGTCTTTAGAATGAGGGTTGAGGGAAATATACTTGATGATAATACCGGACTTTGTTTAAGCTGTGTAGGCTTGTGTAAACTGAGAGATGCGTTACGCCAGGGCCAACGCCTGTTTGTTGCATCGCGTGTATTTGTCCATCTAGCGTGCCCCGACGCTTCCGTTCACGGTGACATGTTCGCGGCTACATCAATCTTGTGTCTGTTTTGCAGCCGTTCTTGCGGCGGACCTGCGCTTTCTATTTCTGTTCCATCGCCGACACGATGGCCCTTGCCGGACGTCTGGCTGCTTGATAGTACATGGCTCGCGATCACGGTCGCGGCCGTAAAAAGCACAATCGAACTTGTAAAGAATTGTGTGCGGCCACCACCTAAACTTTCATACACAAACGAGCAAAGTTTTCGTTGAAGTTGTGTGCTCTTCCCGGACTTTGTTGAAAACAAAACTGCATGAGAGATGGAAATATTTGCGCTCGCCGTCACTAACAAAAAACGAAACATTTGCGGCCGCGGCCTTGATAGAACACGCAGCAAGAGAAAAGTGCACGAAAAATGTGCCACAAACACAAAGCTGACACATGCGCTGTGCGAACAGCAGTTCTAGCTGTTCCTCCTGCACCAAGTGATTAATGTTTCGGATTGTTTCTCCGACTTCTCCTGTGCCACAACCGGGCGGGCGTTTTCCAGATATAAAGAGGCGGAGCAGAAGCTGATGAAGATGGAAGCTCTTTCGGACGAGGAACAGGAGATCTACGACAGCATTGACCCGGATGGCGTGGAGGAGAAGACCGTGTGGCTTACTTCCCTGGTAAGGGAAGACGTTGTTGTTGTTGTTGTTGTTGTTGTTGTTGTTGTTGTTGTCGTTGTCGTTGTTGTTGTTGTTGTTGTTGTTGTTGTTG